TCCAGTGTATTTCACTCTACCACTGACCAGTGCTCTTATCAACAGTCTGTCGATGTGTGTGTGTGTACATTTGCAACTACCAAGTCAAGTGACGGTGGTATGATGTCCACTGAAACAGCAATCCGAGAAGATCTTCAAGCTAAAGCCGATGAGCGTCTGCTGATGCAACCTGCTTCCAAAAGCTGATGTCACCTGTTCGTTACTGGAAAACTGCTGCTGCAAGTACAGTCAACGTTCCTTCGTCGGTCATTTCGGTCGGTGGTGATGGCATCGATTGATGATGGCATCTACTACTCCTTCACAGTCCTGCACAATCACAGCTCATCAGTTGCCAACGGTGGTGCTAGTGGCCTGCGGGCCAGTGCTGGTGGCATCGATGGCAAAAAGTTGTGTTCAAGAGAAAGAGAGAAGAGTGGAGACGTCATCCTGCATAGAAGATGAAAGTAGGAAGAAAAGAGTACAGAGTAATGTGTACACTTTACTGTACAGTAGTGTCTGCATATGCGACGACAGAAGAAGAGGAGAGAAGAGAAGAGCAATCGAGCCGTGTCTATAAAAAGGTGCTGGAACCAGTGAGAACGACACTCGGCTACGGACAAACTGCTGTTGCTGTTCGAATTGCCCGCGCGGACGACAAAACTGTGCTCATTGAGAAGACGTGTTCAAAAGTTTCGTTTTTGTTTTCAAAGCTGTTTTCTATCTACAAAAGTTTTCTTTATCATCACCAGCAATTTTTAAGTTTGTTTGCACTTTGAACCCTCTCTCTCACTCGCTATCATCCCCGGCCCCACATGAACACCATTGCGACCTCCACCGCCGCCGCCGCTGATCACTGCGAGGATCCAAAGCAGCAGCAACAGCCCAAGAAGAAGGTGGTCACCAGTGCACTGGCAGCACTGCAGCAAAAACAGCTGCTCATCAACGGAATCGGTAGTCCCAGCAGCAGCAGCAGCAGCACTCGAATGTCGGCCATCTTTGGCAATCGTCTCGACTCTGAGGAGTACGACGAGTACATGAACAGGGGCAATGAGAACCGCGAGGAGACGGTCGCTCTGCTCACCGAGCACTACTACAACATTCTCAAGGACATCGGCGAGGACCCGGGCCGGCAGGGGCTGCTGAAGACGCCGGAGAGGGCGGCCAAGGCATTTCGCTACTACACCTGTGGATACAATATCAACCTGCAAGGTAGGAGAGTGGGTTACTAGGTCACACTTGCTACTACTTGGAAGTACTTTGATTCACACGACGATAACTTAGTGGTATTCTATCTGATGGAGCGAAACTAAACTGACCAACACTGTCTTTCAACTTCTCTTTCATTGTCCGCAGAACTGCTGAACGACGCCGTCTTCAATGAGGACCACGACGAGATGGTCATTGTGCGGGACATTGAGATGTTCAGCCTCTGTGAGCACCACCTGACGCCCATCATCGGCCATGTAAGTTTTGCGCTGTAGAAAGAGGAGGATCACTGCCATTCAAAGGTCACCACCACCATCATCACAACAAAATTAGAACTTTTACTTTGGAAAAACTTTTTCAAAGCAAAAGTTTGAATGTCAGGAAGGAGAATGCAAAGCAATTGAAGCATACTTTTGCTGCTGCTGCTGCTGCTAATGACACCGCTAATTGGAAGTGGAAGCCGATTGATTCACGACAACGACGACGAGGACGACGAGAAAGAGAACACAGTCAATTACCGAGCAGTGNGCAATTGAAGCATACTTTTGCTGCTGCTGCTGCTGCTAATGACACCGCTAATTGGAAGTGGAAGCCGATTGATTCACGACAACGACGACGAGGACGACGAGAAAGAGAACACAGTCAATTACCGAGCAGTGAAGTGGAAAATGGACGGCAAAGTGAGCAAAGAGCAAAGTGATGTAGTGAATGGTGATCTCCAGGCCGTCTATATAACCGGAGCGTCCCTACCCGCTCGCTAATCAACTGGTAAATCACATTAGCACTTCAAAGGCAGCAGCAGCAGCAGCAGCAGAAGCTCTCGTTGCCGGGCGCACTTCATTGGCATCAGACTCTGATGCTGTTCCGGTGCTCACCAGTCAAGAGCAGCAGCAGCAGCAGTATCACCGATATCGAATGAATATTAATGGCACACACACACTCACTCACTCACACTCTCAGTCGCTGGCCACGATGATTCCGTCGCTCGGACGCTCTTGTCGCGATAACAGCGTCTCTCTCCCGCTTATCAAGAGCCTTCCTCTTCATTTGCACACACTCTCTCACCAGCAGCAACCAGTCGTCTTCGTTTCAGGGCCACCACCACCACCACCACCGTCGTCGATCGATGGCAGAAGCAGATGTGGCTGTGGTGGAGAGTACTCGAGAACTGTGTGAGTGCGATAGAAAAATCTGTGAAAGAGGGGCTGAGAAGAAGGAATCCTGATCGATGGTGACAGAGACGGTGCTGCTGCTGCTGCTGCTGATGCTGATGCCATCGCCAACTTGAGAAGAAAGGCGCTGTACGCTACAGTAAGCGAGTGCCCATTGTGTTGCCCAGTGATTTCCCTTCCCCTCGTCGATCTATTGGCCCAATCATCAGTTTATGGAAGAGGAAGGGGAACTGCAACTGCTGTACCAGATTTGATGCTCTGTGCTGGGCACACCACCAGACAAAGGGGAACAATGGTGCTATTCATTGGGCACGCACACAGCTCACTCGCCGGTAATTGCGTCCAATTTGTGTGTGCACATCGAAAGTGATGCTGCCGCTGCTGGTGACAGTGGTGGTGGCCTTTTCTTTTTTCTTTTCTATTCCCTTATTTATTACTCTGCTCATCGATCCTCTTCTTCTTCTTCGAGTAGATGAGCTGACCTTTTGTGTGTATCTGATGACTGTTCTTTTGTTGT